TTTGTTTTAAATTTCACACAACCTGAAATCTGTGATAGTCAGATTCACAACAAGGAAGTTGTAATTCAGTGTTATATGGTAGTCATATAGCAAACTTCAGTTTATGGTTCAGATGAAGTCAGAAACTATATTTAATTAAATTGTCTGCATTGTAGGTCATAAAAATTGTCTTTCTGCAGATACAAAAGGGTTGTGCTAATAAGACAAGATATAATCATCCAAGCATGACTTCTGCAGGAGATATCATATTTGCAGCTATCCCAACAGTAATTTCAGGCACTATAGTTGCATTCATGTACATGAAAGAAGATAATTAAAGAGATTGACAGTATCTTCTTGCAAACTAATTAGTAGCAGCATCAAAGTTAGCTACAATGAGTATCTGTTGTGCATATAGGGGTGCTTAGACTGAGCATGTAAATATATGTTTATATCCTTGAGAACACATACACATACCTATGTATTTGTATCCATGGAAGGAAAGGAGGGAGGGAGGGAGAGAGGGAGGGAGGAAGGAAATACACAGAGAGAGAGAGAGAGAGAGACATACACATACACATTCTTTTAAACATTTTCCTTTTGAAGTATATAAATAAAACAGAAGTTATCTACTGTTTTTGCTTTGGATGCATCAGAAAAAAAATAGGATATGGAAGATAAATAGGGATTTTTACTTTCTAAAGATATTACTCTTCCATCCCCTCCCCGTTTTGCTGATTGAAAACATGTAGGTTATGGGCATTACATTGTTCTAATAAAAGTTTACTAAACAATATTAAATAAATATTTAATTATTTTCTAGAATTCAATAGTCATTCTTGCATCTGCTTTTCATTTTGCATCTATACAGATTTTAAATAGCCAGTGAAAGAGCTCTAAAAATACTTGCATTGTGGACAAGAAGGGAAAAATAAAATTGAATTGCTACACTGGCTGCCAATATTAAAATTGCTAATAAAAGCAAAATGTTCATTCTGAGGTCTGCTAATAAAAGAAATAAATTAAAAACTTGTAAAATAAACATGATATAATACAGTGCATTATATTGAATATTTCAAAAGCAAAACTTAGCTTTTTCAATATGGGAAAGCAATTTATCTAACATTCTTAGCAATACAGCCTTTCAATGGGAAGCAAATTTTTAAAGAGAATATGTTATCAAAGAATAATTCTAAATACATATTATAGAACAAATGAAAAATAATTTGTGCTTACTTCAGTATCCTAATTCTGATATGATTTTGAATCTGAAATAAACTACCACTACTTTATATCAACCATGTGCAATTATTATGGATAAAAAAGTAAACTTCGAGTTTTATATGTTCATTCCTTAATAGCATATTAATTCTGTCTGCCAGAATTAACAAATAATAGCCTTTTAACAACATAAAATGCGTGTTGTTTTACCTGAACACCATTTCTCCTTGTAGCCGAGACAGGACAGGAGTGGGTTGCTCTTGTCCGAGCTGCTTGGACTGAGTCTGTCTAAAAGGCTGATTAACCTAGCTCCATCCACTCTGGGTGGCTCCTCCCAGCTTTTGTCAAAACCATCACAACAGACAGGACTGCCTCTGAAAAAGACAAATAGAGACTGTTATTGGGTCCCCCCTCCCATCAGCCCACAGTACGGACCAGTTCCATTAGGGTGGAGCTGACCAGTCTTGCCTACAAGGAGAA